ACGAGGTGTAGGAGTCGTGGATGCACACTGCTAATAAGTCACATACCAGGATGAAACGGCCGTCTTTCAGTGCTTCCAGATTTCTAATGGTCATCTAACAATGATTGATTGATAGTTTCAAATGTGTAAAAACTACTCACTACTGTCAAATTGTATCTTGAAGACTGCAAGCAAAGCACTTTGACTATAATAGAATTCAGTCTATTTTGAATTCGATTAAACTTACTAAATTTTATGTCATTTATCTTTAGACTATCTAAACTTGTATGAAGTTGATTTGATTAATGATTTCTACACACTGAAATCATAAATCAATTATTGTTAGACTATCATTAGAATCCCTAAATGATTGAAGGGCTGTTTCTTCCTGTATTAGTACTAATTATTGACAGTGCGCATCCACGACTTCAGCAACCCACAGGATTCGAACGCAGGAACTTCGGTTTTGGTCGCAAACGCTAAACCTCAGGTCCACTGGGTCGGCATCCAGCGTTGATCAATCTATGGACTTTGCGTGACCTCACTCATTTTTCCCATAACAGGATGAAACGGCAATCTTGTGTTTCTGCCAGGTTTCTAATGGTGATCAACGTTGTTGTTAAGAAAGGAGTACTGGGTAAGTATAGCAGTTCAATAGATGAAGTGGTGAATCTTCATCATTTGAGATGGTTGGGTCATATGTTACGAATGCTCAACCACCGACTGCCTAAACGTGCGATGTTTCGTGGTGTATGAGGAGTAGGTTGGAAGAAAGTTAGGGGCGGCAAAACGGAAACATAGCAGAAATCCGTGAAGTCATTGACAAGTGGACTGACACATGTAAGTAAGTGTAGACTACCTGTTTGGAGTCTGTGAGATGATAGTAAACGATGGTTAGAGACCTTGAACGACATGGCGCAGGAGCATATACTCTTTGTGTCTCCCATATTCTAATATAAACTTCTTCTCACTTTCATCTTTTTATTTTGTTTTTAAAATTTATTTCACTGGATTAAACTTCTTGAATAATATCTTCCGACCGTAATCTTTCCGATGACTGTTCATACTTCTACTGTGGTGTGTGCTACTTATACGAACGAAATAAGTAGTATAAGAAGGGACGTGAAAGAAGAATCCGCACGGTCAGAAGAGGAAAACGGAAAGCAAATGGAGCAAAAGGAAGTAGTAAATGGAGTACCAACAGAGGAAGGAAAGGAAGCAACAACAAGAATGGAAGAAGAAGGATGGAGTGTTGGAAGTCACGACTCAAAGATGGTGTGCAAATAGAGAGTATTCAATGTAATGTTTTCATTTTTAATTGACTATGAGTGTAAATTTGCATAATACAATCTTCCTCGCCTGCCCCAGTCTTCTCACTACTACACCTACTGTAGTGAATGAAAACACAGGTGGGGGCAACCGAATTGTATTTAGCGAAAATTACAGAGTTACTCAGTAAAATCGGAAAACCATATCGTAAATCGTTCATTTGCAAAGGATCAGTTCATCCTATGGAACTGGACTGTTCCTGTTGCCAAACATCAATCCATTGTCACTCTTCATGCGTTTCAAACAATTTCCATTGTTTTCTGACTCTTCCTTTCTTGATCTTCCCCCCATATTATGCTACCAGACTTTACGTTGACACTCACGCTATATACTACTTATAAGTAGTTCGCACCACAGCACCACACTACCACTATGCAAAATGAATGGACAATTACATCTCTGTGTACTCAGATGTAGTATGGCATCTTCAACTGATGTACTCACTAACATACGTACAAAGTTCTATATTGCAGCTGACTGACTGACTTACCGACTGGTGGATCGAGGTTAGCAGAACAAGCTACAGGTCAAACGTGGAGAAATTCGAATGCTTCACTTTTTCTATCTGAAGTTTGTACTGATGATGTTGTTCGGCAGAAGAACAATGAAAGCTCCACAAACAAAACAAATAGCTCAGAGAACGAAACACTACCACAGTGACTTATCGACTGCCATAAAAAACATAAAATCAGATTAGATTCAGTAAACAATTAGATCGTTATCGCTTAACTTTATTCTGTTTATCATATCAGCTAATTTTTCAATATTTAAGTCATATAAACCTGATCAAAATCTTTCAAAAATTTTATCAGTTCTTAACAAGACAGTTAAATATCTCAAGAAAACAGTTCATGCGTTGTTACTTTATTAGTTAACAACTAAAAATAGTTAGTTTATTTAGGCAAGTAAAATAAAATAAAATATAAAACGATTCATTCTCAATGTTAGAATGATTCTTTGAAAATTATCAACCATTTCAGCAGAAAAAGAAATCAATGCCGATCTCTTATTTTAACACACAGTGAGTGAACTTAACTGTCTGTGTATATGAAATAAAAGATGTTTGACGTAGTTGTTGTAAATTCTAATTAACTAAAGAGAGATAAACGCAAAAGTTGAATATACCTTTAAAAACACAAATTTACAAAGTTTTTTTAGCTTTACAGCTAACAATCGTCTGAACACACAGGATGACTCTTAAGACTTTGGTAACATAGCCACCCTTTTCTGTAAGATTCCGCGTATTTCACTCTGACTAAGGCCCGGCCTTTGAAAGTCATCTCATCGCCGAAATATGCAAGTTATTAGAAATACGGAAGACGCATACTACCGCATATCACCCAGAAGACTTATAGTTAACAATAGTAATCGGTATATTGTGGAGTTTTCAACGCTGCAGTGTTTCAAAGCACTACACAAGCAACGTGATGAATACCACAATAAACGCACGCATGCTCTGGTAAATCAACGTTAGAATCATCTACGTTCTCATCTTTGAAGTCTAGATCAGCAACACGTTGAGACAGTATATTCATGCTATTGGACACATCATGTTGTTTAGAGATGCAAGTTTTGTCAGGGTCAAGTTGAGAGGCCTGTGTTTGAGACTGTGAAGTTAGAGTGAAATCAGAACAGTCATAATCAGGCGCCTGAGTATCTCCTCCAATTCAGGGTCGAAGAAAATGAAGTCTTAAGAATTAGGACCATAAGCATCAAAAGTATCCATGTGGACAACTCGCGCTAAGAATACGAGACGAAGTACTTCATCATCAGCAGCACACAATTCGGATAGAATAGTTCAGTATTCGTAATTCACCACGTATGACTTGAGGTCAACAGAACAAGCTTCGAACAGTTCTCTTCAGTACTTGCAGTTTGTACTGATGACAACGATATTGTTCAGAAGAAGAACAACGATGAAAGATCCACAATCGAACAACATCCCCAGCTTAAACGGAACGAAACTCCACCACAGGCAAGACTTGTGTTTTTTTTTATCAGTGGTCACTTAGACCACATTTTTAACAGATAAATTCACCTGCATGTAAACTTATCATCATTATCAGGACGTCTATTGATGTATAACTTCAAATATCAACACGAAACGTTCAACGTTCAATGTAAATCTCATCAACCCTGAATATTAACATAAGCATAATTTCATAACACCTAATTCATGATGATTTCAAATGTGCATTACGGGGTTGTGAAAATTGTTAAGTTACACATTTTTTGAAATCATGAATCGATCAATGTTAGACCACCACTAGAAACCTGGAAGCACAGGACGGTCGTTTCGTCCTGCTATGGGACTCATTAGTGGCAGTGAGCAACCACGCCTCCTGCACCTCGCAGGATTCGAACCCAGGACGTTCGTTCTAACATTGATCGATTCATGGTTTCAAAAATGTGTAACTTAACAATCTTCATAACCCCGTAATGCAAATTACCTGTGCTCACTAGTGACTAGCTTCGTGAGGAATCTTCTCCGAGTTCTTGTGGGAAGATGTGAGCGGTGAAGTTCAACCTGTTCGGGTGTAGGCAGTGTCTACCGAAGACTGTGTATGAGGTTGCGCAAATCCGTGAATCGATCACGTTAGAGATTAACACTGTTTGATACCGCCCCAGTGGTCCGATGGTTAGGCATTCGCGCACAATACCAAAGGTCCTGTGTTCGAATCCTGCGAGGTGCAGGAGTCGTGGATGCGCACTGCTGAGGAGTCCCATACCGGGACGAAACGGCCGTCCAGTGCTTTCAGGTTTCTAATGATGGTCTAACATTGATCGATTTCAAATGTGTAGAAAGACTGATCTGCATAACTCTAATTGAAAATATATTGTAAAATGTGTTCACTAGTGACTAGCTTCCTTGAGGAAATTCTCGGAGTTCTAGTAAGAAGACATGACTAGTGGAGTTCAACCTTGTCACGTGTAGGCAATAACTACCGAAGACGAATGGGTGAGGTCACGCAAAATCCCTAGATCAATCAGAGTTAGACATTAACACCGTTGGATGCCAGTCCAGTGGTCCAACGGTTGGGCGTTTGCGTACAATACCTAAGGTCCCGGCTTTGAATCCAGCGAGGTACAGGAGTCGTGGATGCACACTGTCACCGATGAATCCTATACCAGGACAAAACGGCCATCTTTCAGTGCTTCCACATTTCTAATGGTCATCTAACAATGATTGATTAATGATTTCAAATGCGTAAAATCACTAATCTCCATAACTCTAATTGAAAATTAATCCACACTACAAAAAAGCCGTTTTATTGTGAAAACACACATTATAGAAAAAAAACACTAAAACAAAACAAATATCACGCACAAATGAACATTGAATAAAGACAATATTTATCATTTGTCATTGTTTAAATAAGGCTTATTTTTTTCATTTTATGAAAACAAAAAACGAGATTCATCTCTGTGAATTGTTCACGAATGAAGTGTTTGTTATTTCTGCATATCTATATAGATATTTTAACACTATAAGAGTGAGGAATTCTTTCAGAATGACAAATGAAAATTGTATATATATCTAATTATATTTTTCTTGAATATTGAACTGACTACGATTAAAACAAACAAATGAACCAACGATGACATTGACATTCGAATGATTTAAAAATAGTTTAAAATCGCGAAGACAGAACACGAAGAAAAACACAGCCAACATCATAGAGCCAAACTGATTAAGGATTTTTTCGTGTTGCATCACCACGACTTTTCATCATTTGTAACCAAACTGATGCAGGCAATAGATTATACAAGTAAGCTTTTAATTCATGACGACTATAACCATAAGTTTGTGATTCTACACCATACATATCTAATGCATTTTTAACATATTGTTTAGCTGTTGGAATGAAAAATGTAGTTTTTGGAAAATTTGTCATACTAGTTGATATTGACAATGGACAAACTGTTTGTATAGTGATTTGTTTTTTATAATTTTCAGCTGCAAGACATTTGGAAAATTGTAAAGTGAATGCTTTCGTGGCAGCATACATTGTAGCATAAGGGAATATTTTTAAACCAGCATAAGATGAAATATTAATAATACCAGGATTAAGCTCTTTTTGGGTTAACATTTTCGATAGAACTAAACTAGTCATCAGTGCTGTTGACAGTGTGTTACAATGAATAATATTACGAATGGATTGTTCATTAGGTGAATCAACTTCTCCAGCAAATGGTCCATATGGTAATCCCATACCGACATTATTAACAAGACAAGCAATTGTAGATAATTTGGTAATTTCAGGTTTAATAACTTCATGAAAATCATCCTGTAGTAAAGAGAGAGATAGATAGATAGATAGAATGAATCGTAGTGTAGTGAATGAGAATACAGGTGAAGGCAACCGAATTGTATTTAACGAAAATTACAGAGTTAGTCAGTAAAATAGGAAAACCATATCGTAAATCGTTAATTTGCAAATCTTCAATCCATCATCAATCCATTGCCTGACATTTCACTATTCATGCGTTTCATACAAATTCCATTGTGTTCCCTTTCTTCCTTTCTTGATCTTCCCCCATCTTAAGGTGCCAGACATTACGTTTACACTCGCGTCATATACTATTTCTAAGTAGCGCGCACCACACTACCACTATGGAAACTGAATGGACAATTTCATCTCTGTGTACTAAGATATAGTATGGCAACTTGAACTGATGTACACTCATATACGTACAAAGTTCCATGTTATAGCTAGCTGACTGACTTACCGACTGCTACAAAAACATAAAATCAGATCAGATTCAGAAGAGAATTAGATCTCAGTCAAGTAACTTCATTCTGTTTATCATATCAGCTAATTTTTCAATCTTTAAGTCATATAAACCTGATCAAAATCTTTCAAAAATTTTATCAGTTCTTAACAAGACAGTGAAATATCTCAAAACAACAGTTCATGCGTTGTTACTTTATTAGTTCAACTACAAAAATAGTTAGTTTATTTAGGCAAGTAAAATAAAATAAAGTCAAGAACGATTCATTCTCAATGTTAGAATGATTCTTTGAAAATTCTGAACAATTTCAGCCGAAAAAAAAAATCAATGCCGATCTCTTATTTTAACACACAGTGAGTGAACTTAACTGTCTGTGTATATGAAAATAAAAAGATGTTTGACGTAGTTGTTGTAAATTCTAATTAACTAAAGAAAGATAAACGTAAAAGTTGAATCTGTTTTTAAAAACACAAATTTATAAAGTTTTTTTAGCCTTATAGTTAACAATAGTAATCGGAATATTGTGGAGTATTCAACGCTGTAGTGTTACAAAGCACTACACAAGCAGGGTCATCAATACCACAATAAGCGCACGCACGCTCTCGTAAATCAGCGTTAGAATCATCTACGTTCACATCTTTGAAGTCTAGATCAGCAACACTTTGAGACAGTATATTCATTCTATTGGACCCATCATGTTGTTGAGAGAAACATGTTTTATCAGGGTCAAGTTGAGAGGCCTGTGTTTGAGACTGTGAAGGCACAGTGAAATCAGAACAGTCATAATCAAACACCTGAGTATCTCCTCCAATCAAATCATTCTCTTCAGGGTCAAAGAAAGTTAAGGCTTGAGAATTAGGACCATAAGCATCAAAAGTATCCATGTGGACAAGTCGTGCTAAGTATACGAGACGTAGTACTTCATCGTAAGCAGCAGCACACATTTCGGATAGATTAGTTCAGTATTCGTAATTCACCACGCATGACTTGAGATCAACAGAAAAGGCTTCGAAAAGTTTTTTTAGCTTTACAGTTAACAATAGTCTGAACATACAGGATGATTCTGAAGACTTCGGTACCATAGCGACCCTTTTCTGTAAGATTCCGCATATTTCACTCCAACCATGGCCCGGCCTTTGAAAGTCATCTCATTGCCGAAATATGCAAGTTATTAGGAATAAGGAAGACGCATACTACCTCATATCACCCAGAAGATAACGGTCTTGTCAAAAGGACAAATGGAACCATTAAAGCTATTTTACAATCGTTCATCAGCAGATCGTCATCCGAGTTGTTGGATGAGGTGCTTCCTCAATGTATGCTAGCTTATCGAACATCAGTATATGGTTGTCACCTTCTATTTCATTATTCGGGCATGAACTACGCCTCCCGGTAGAGATACAGTCGTCTTTGCTACCGTATGAGGAACAAGAATACGTACCGTACATCCGTACTCTCCGAATTCGACTGGCTGATGCGTACCACTTAGTCAACAACAACTTACGCAGGGCTAGTGGCCATCAAAGAGACATATTTGATCGCCAGGTTCAGGGACCAACGTATAAAGTTAGAGATCGTGTCTGGTTACGACGCCCCATGACGTCATCTAGGGGTTGCAGTAAATTCCACCGGCCTTGGCACGACCCCTTCGAAATCGTCCGCATCCAGTCCTCCACGACGGTTGTGTTACGTAACCCGCAACGACCTCGGGATGACGCACTATAACCAAGTAAAACCAGATCCGTCAACAGTATCTGCCGATGCTCAGTTCACAGACCCACCGCCTGCTACCAGTTTTTATGAGATACCGGCTGAAGGGGGAGCAGCATATCCTTTTCCGAGACCAGGCACTGAGGACAGTGCCTCCTGAGGTGAGGAGTTGGTGTAACAGAGTCAAAGTCACCATGTATGATGTTGTTAACCCGTCCTGTTTTCTTTCTATTTCAGGGCGATCAAACGTTAACACGTTGGAAGCTGAAGAACAAGCCCTGAGTGGTCTGAACATACAGGATGACTCTTAAGACTTTGATACCATAGTGACCCTTTTCTGTAAGATTCCGCGTATTTCAATTTTTAAAAATAAACGAGTGCCGTGGCAACCACTTCGTGTTGTCTCTTGGTGTGAGATGTTAAACTAACCTTGTGTGTTGTGATTTTAGATCATATCCACCCTTCAGTGACTGCTGATTACACGTGTTACAAATGTGATGCAGTTTTGTTTTCTCTCTAACGTGGGGATGAGGTTTAGTTGTTTAGCATTCAACGTTTTACTTCCACTGAACGACATCATCATCATCAGCAGCAGCACACACTTCGGATACAGTAGTTCAGTATTTGTAATTCACCACGCATTACTTGAGATCAACAGAAAAAGCTTCGAACCGTTCTTTTAGGTACCTGCAGTTTCTTACTGATGACAACGATAATGTTTCGAAGAAGAACAACGATGAATGCTCTACAAACAAACCACATTCCCAACTCAGAGAACGACACTCCATCACAGGCGAGACTACATTTTTAACAGATAAATTCACCTACATATAAACTTAGAAGTGTAACTGTCATCACTATCAGGAAGTCTATTGGTGCATAAGTTCAAATATCAACACGAAATGTTCGACGTTCAATGCAAATATCATCAACTGAAGCATAATTTCATAACACTTAATTCATGATGATTTCAAATGTGTAAAAACACTAATCTCGATAACTGTAATTGAAAACATATTGTAAAATGTGTTCACTAGTGACTAGCTTCATGCGGAAATTCTCGGAGATCTAGTGAGATAAGACATGACATGCAATTCAACCTTGTCAAGTGTAGGCAATAACTACCGAAGACAAATAACTGGGTGAGTTCACGCAAAATCCTTAAATCAGAGTTAGACATAAACATCGTTGGATATCGGCCCAGTGGTCTAAACCGAAGGTCCCATTTTTGAATCGTACGAGGTGCAGGAGTCGTGGATGCACACCGCTAATAAGTCACATACCAGGATGAAACGGCCGTCTTTCAGTTCTACCAGATTGCTAATGGTCATCTAAAAATGACTGATTGATGATTTCACAACTGTGTTAAAACACTAATCTCCATAACTTTAATTGAAAATATCGTAAAATAGGCTCACTAGTGACTAGCTTCGTGAGGACATTCTTGGAGTTCTTGTGAGAAGACGTGACCAGTGGAGTTCAACGTTGTCGGGTGTAGGCACGAACTACGCAAAATCCCTAAATCAATCAGAGTTAGACATAAGCACCGTTGGATGTCGGCTTAGTGGTCCAATATTTAGGCGTTCGTGCACAATACCGAAGGTCTCAGGCTCGAATCATGTGAGTAGCAGCAGTCAAGGATGCGCACTGTCACTGATGAGTCCCTTACCAGGACGAAATGGCTGTCCGGTGCTTCCAGGTTTCTAATGGTCATCTAACAATGATTGATTGATTAATGATTTCAAATGCGTAAAAACACTAATCTCCATAACTCTAATTGAAAATTACAAAAAGGAAGACGATTTTATTGTGAAAACACACATTATAGAAAAAACACTAAAACAAAACAAATATCAAGCACAAATGAACATTGAATAAAGACAATATTTATCATTTGTCATTGTTTAAATAAGGCTTGTTTTTTTTCATTTTACTAAAACAAAAACACGATTCATCTCTGTCAACTGTTCACGAATGAAGTGTTTGTTATTTCTGCATATCTATCTAGATATTTTAACACTATAAAAGTGAGGAATTCTTTCAGAATGACAAATGAAAATTGTATATCTATATATTTATATTTTTCTTGAATATTGAACTGACTACGATTAAGACAAACAAATGAACCAACGATGACATTGACATTTGAATGATTTAAAAATAGTTTAAAATCTCGAAGACAGAATACGAAGAAAAACACAGCCAACATCATAGAGCCAAACTGATTAAGGATTTTTTCGTGTTGCATCACCACGACTTTTCATCATTTGTAACCAAACTGATGCAGGCAGTAGATTATACAAATAAGCTTTTAATTCATGACGACTATAACCATAAGTTTGTGATTCTACACCATACATATCTAATGCATTTTTAACATATTGTTTAGCTGTTGGTATGAAAAATGTAGTTTTTGGAAAATTTGTCATGCTGGTCGAAATCGACAATGGACAAACTGTTTGTATAGTAATTTGTTTTTTATAATTTTCAGCTGCAAGACATTTGGAAAATTGTAAAGTGAATGCTTTCGTGGCAGCATACATTGTAGCATAAGGGAATATTTTTAAACCAGCATAAGATGAAATATTAATAATACCAGGATTAAGCTCTTTTTGGGTTAACATTTTCGATAGAACTAAACTAGTCATCAGTGCTGTTGACAGTGTGTTACAATGAATAATATTACGAATGGATTGTTCATTAGGTGAATCAACTTCTCCAGCAAATGGTCCATATGGTAATCCCATACCGACATTATTAACAAGACAAGCAATTGTAGATAATTTGGTAATTTCAGGTTTAATAACTTCATGAAAATCATCCTGTAGTAAAGAGAGAGATAGATAGATAGATAGATAGATAGAATCGTAGTGTAGTGAAGGAGAACACAGGTGAGGGCAACGGAAATTACAGAGTTACTCAGTAAAATCGGAAAACCATATCGTAAATCGTTAATTTATTTGCAAAATATCAGTCCATCATATTGAACTGAACTGTTCCTGTTGCAAAACATCAATCCATTGTCACTACTATTCATGCGTTTCATACAAATTCCATTGTGTTCTTCTAACTCTTCCTCCTTTCTTGATCTTCCCCCGTCTTCTGCTTCCAGACATTACGTTGACACTCACGTCATATACTACTTATAAGTAACTCACACCACAGTAGGTCTGTTAGTCTGTTTTCATTTTCGAATTCCAACGTGATGATGATGTACACTGAATGGAATGAAACTGGAGATCCAGTTATTTCGTAGGTTAATTGGTAATTTACAAAGGTCATTATTTCTATGCCTTTAAAATTGATAACTGAGATCGAATCAGTTTGTACTAGTTAGCACAAATATGTTTAGTGTGGGATATTACCTGTCTGTTACATGTTTCAGTATACTTTCGTGACTGATATATACATTTTTAATGAAATCTTGATTGACGACAATTCAAATTCTTACGAGTATTCAATGAGAAAATGTTGGACAGTAAAGTTTGCATTGATTTTTGCTCAGTTCAGATTTCATTGTGAACATAACCTTGTTGCATCTGAATACAATCAGTGAACATTCTGTGCACATAGTTATTTACACAATAAAAGCGAAATTGAATTGAATGTCACGACTTTTCATCGAAAACCCAAGTATATATAAGTGTAAATTTTAGTCGTGTTGTAGCGAAGGAGAACACAGGTGGGGCAACCGAATTGTATTTAACGAAAATTACAGAGTTTACTCAGTCAAATTGGAAAACCATATCGTAAATCGTTAATTTATTTGCAAAATATCAGTTCATCATCATATCGAACTGGACTGTTCCTGTTGCAAACAACATCAATCCATTGTCACTACTATTCATGCGTTTCATACAAATTCCATTGTGTTCTTCTAACTCTTCCTTTCTTGATCTTCCTCCATCTTCTGCTGCCAGACATTACGTTGACACTCACGTCATATACTACTTATAAGTAGCTCACACCACAATGTGACTCAGAATGCAGCATTTACTATACTAATAATACACACCGTCATGGAGAAAACCATGGACGATCCAACTCCTCTAAATTTAAACAAACACTACCATCGTGTGTGTTACCTAGATCAATCTCACTACTCATTTCAGTCATGACTATTTCAAAATAATCTAATCGACAAATCAACCGCAAATGCATGCATCTTACTTTTGTGAAATCCGCCACAACAATTCGTGTTTTCACAGCATATTGATTTGACAATCGATCAGCGACGGATTGCAATTGTTGTTCATCATTACTAATCAACATTAGATTGATACCCTCTTTGGCTAGTTCTTCTGCATACGCTTCACCAATTCCTGACGATGCACCAGTTACAATAGCCCATTCACCAGCTCTTCGTAATTGTTTCCGTTTAGAGAAACAAGAAACGCCCACAGTATATTTTAAACAAATAAATATCAGTTGTAAAAATTTATAAATTATCCAAGTCGCTATCAGGGCAATTAATAATATCCACCAATATTTTCCAATAAATGGCCAAATATCTGAAAGATCCTAGAATACATGAGAACACACAGAGAGAGAGTTAGAGAGAGAGATGAAAAAAACAATTGAATCATAATTTTTTAGTGAATATAAAACAGTATTTTATGATTTTTCGATTAAGTCACTCAGTCAGATGCAACGTACAACTTTGTACATAAGTACATCAGTTCATGTCACCATACCACATTATTAGCACAGCGAGATATAATTGTCAATTCAAATCCAATAGTAGAAGAGGTAATAAAAGGTATTAGAAGTAATCGGAGAGGTTAGGATTAGAAGATATTATTCAAGAAGTATGATTCAATGAGAAAAGTTTAGAGAGTCAAAACTCCAGGGGTTAAAGAATCCAGAAGATTAGGATTTGAGAGAACACAAAGAATAAATGCACTGGCGCCATTGCGAACGGTTTTGAGCCATATCATTCAGGGTCTCTAGCCATCGACTATTATCATCTCGCGGACCCCAACCAGGTAGTCGACAATTACCGACATGGCTAAGTCAGTCCACTCGTCAATGACTTCATGGATTTGTGGCATGTTTTGGTTTGGCCGCCCCTAACTTTCTTCCAACCTATTCCTACACTACAAAACAAAGCTCGTCGAGGCAGTCGGTGGTTAGGCATTCGTAACACATGTCCCAACCACCTCAACTGATGAAGTTTCACTACTTTATCTCTGGATCCGCCATTCTTACCTAGCACCCATTTCCTAACAACAGCGTTGCTCACTCGGTTGTCCCACGATATACGAGCAATGCTTCGAAGATACCTATGGTCGAAAACCAGTAACCTACGAATATCTTCTACTCTGACTGACCATCTTTCACAGCCATGTTATAGGACGGAGCTAACTACTGCGCAGTACACTCGTCCTTTAGTCAGCAAACGGATATCTCGCCTACGCCATAAGAGACGCAGGTTGACAAAAGCCAATCGAGCCTTCTATATCCATGCTGAGATTTCGTCCGTCACCAGGCCATCAGCACTAATGAGACTCCCCAGATAAGTGAAGCGGTCAACACGCTCGTCTACTTCACTCCCTATCACTAGTTCAGGTGCTGATGAAACCCAATCTTGAAGCAACATTTTGCATTTTGCAGGGTGAGAACCACATCCCGAACATGCATGCATTGTTGCTTAGGGTAGTCAGAAAACTCTGCATTTGGTCAGCGTCTTCACCAAGTAGGACTATGTCATCGGCATATTCTAAGGATTTTTCAATTAGAATTATAGAGAGTACTGTGCTTTTGTTCTGCACACTGAAATCATTATTCAATCATTTTTAGACCACCATTAGAAATCTGTCAGTACTGGACGTCCATTTCGTTCTGGTACCACAACTCATCAGCAGTGAGCATACACACGAACACCATTGGATGCCAGTTTAGTTGTCCAGAGGTTAGGCGTTCGTGCATAAGACCGAAGGTCTTGTGCATGAGTTATGGATGGATGCTCACTTCCACTGATGAATCTCATACCAAGATGAAACAACTGTCTTTAATGATAGTTCCAGCTTTGATATAAGTTCATAATTTCTAACTATGAATAGAATAATTTCTAATGATAGTAACGATGAACAACAGAAATCATGATGGAACTCAATGAACAAATCACTTACCATTTATTTTCGTGTAATATTAATTAATCTTCTTTCTTTGAATCAAAGTTTTTCTGTTTGACTAATTAACAGAAAAGAAACAATGAAACAATGAAAATTCTCAGTAATTCATTAATTTACTTGTTAACTAGGAGTTTGAATATTGAACGAAAGCAACAATTATTCAATGTACAATAAGACTTTACCTGTAATAATCAAACAAACTTAAAAAGTTGATTTCTAACAAAATCAACCTATTTATAATGTTTCTTATTTTATGTCAATTTTATTTCTTTGGTTCTTCTGGAAGAAAAAAAATTCTTTCTATCAATCCAGTTATGTTCTATGTTCAATGTGTGTGTGTGTTTCGTTGAACAACTATGCACATTCCCTTGTTTGTTGAATGTGCGTTTTTTTTTTAATATGGAATGTAAAGGTATGTCAAAAAATTTTTTAAAGGTCATAAAAGTATTATAATTCTGTGCATATCTATACATAGAGATATGTACTCTATCAATCATGTACACGTACTTTTGATTAAAAACAAAAGAGTGTACTACTATGTGTGTTTATGTATGAATATATATCCACTACGAGGTGTTAGACCACCATTAGAAACCTGGACGTACTGGTTTGAGACGAAATCAGAGACAGTGCGCTCCAACGGCTTGTGTACTTGGCAGTATTCGAACCGAGGACCTTCGGTCTCGCATGCGAACTCTTAACCTCTGGACCACTGAGCTGGTATATTGTTACGCTCGTCACTAAGTATCCTTGAGGCTATTACGGGTTTAACTTAGTCGATAAACGCGAACGAGACAATGAACCAGCGTCCAGGTAGGCTACCTTGAATCCAAACGGATAAAACAGAAGTCTTGATGTAGCGTAGAAAGTATATTCTACAAACACCCAGAAATCACACAATACAATCAAGCAACACACAACTCTCGTTTATTTATACATCATAGAAACGTCGTTTGGGACAGTTAAGAAAATAGCACACTAAAATAAAACAGTAGCCAATCACAACCAAGGATTTTCATGGTGGGAATTGAAATCTCAAGGTCAGATGATCAGCCCATGCTCGCAAACGTGAAAACCAAAATTTTCGGGATCTAACATCCCCAATATATATAATTGTGTTAATGCCTAACTTCGATCAATTCACGAAAATCATAAATCAATCATGACTAGATAACCATTAGAAATATGGAAGCAATGAACAGCCGTTTCGTCCTGGTATGAGACTTATCGGCAGTGTTCATCCATGGTACGAAGGAATCCAATCTTGGAACTTCAGTGCCGCGAGTAAATACTTAACCTCTAGACCATTGAGCCTACTAGAATCTGACAGTATTAATGTCTAACTTTGATCACTCTAAGTATTTCGCTCAATCTCATGCATTGTCTTTGGTGAGCAACTGTCTACACCCAATAGAGTGTTAGACCATCACATTCAAAACCTGGAACCATTCACTAGACAGCCGTTTCGTCCTGGTCTAGGAAGGACTCTTCAGCAGTAGGCATTCACGATTGAAACACTAATAGATTACTTTAAGTAGAAATTTGCACAGAATTCACTAATAGTTTACTTATGATAAGTAAGAGAATAACGGAATGTTTTTTACGACAAAAATGTTACTCTATTGTGGTGGTTGTGTAATGTTCGTTCATCATTTTATGGCTGGAATAAACTCATCCAACCGAATCCGTATTTGACTGCTAATTACTGCCGTCGCACAAACAAGGTTCACTTAGAATTATGATATACACGGAAACTGAAAGAGGAGATTAATTTCATAGCATACTCGAACATCATAAATAGAGGAGACATCTCATGAGCTACTAAAGTAATGAGGCCGACATTGAATGTAACGCAACCATAGTATCCTGTCATGGACATGTCATATGTGGTGGTGTTTCGTTCTCTGAGATCAACTGCATACAAACTTTGTTCAAGAGAGCGAAGACATACTGGAGCACATACGAAGCATTAAAAAACGAGGAAAAACATCTTGTGACTATCTTCCAAAAGAACGGCTCTCCACGCAACTTGATCAGAAAACATCAACCGAAACCATCATCAGAAGCGAAATCAAGCACAGGAACCAATAAACGCATCATCCTGCCATGCATCAAAGACATATCGGAGCACACAGCACGACTATTGAAACCATTTGGAATAGGTGTGGCACACAAACCAACCGAATCACTTCAATCAATCCTATGTAGACCAAAGGACAAAATGACGAAGGAAGAAAAACCAAATATCATCTACAAAATAAATTGCTCAAACTGTGAAAAACACTACATAGGACAAAGTGGACGTCCTCTTCAGCTTCGTTTACGTGAACACTAGTTAGCAGTCAAACGCCACGACAATGCTTCGCTTATCTCAATACATACCGACAACTATGGACGCACATTCGATTGGAACAATGTGGAAATACTGGGTAGGGGGAGGACAAAGAACATTAGGGAATTTTTAGAAGCTTGGCACTCAGGTCAATCAGCAACCAACTAACACATCGACATTGACCCAATTTATCAACCAATCAGGAAAATCATAGGTGACACAGGATCAAGAAACAGATCAAATGGGGGAGGCAATCAAAACAAAGTTGCAAGCAACGACAGGTCAAAGGTCAACAGCAACCAATCAAGACCGAAGTTAGCAGAACAAGCTACAGGTCAAATGTGGAGAAATTCGAATGCATCACTTCTATCTGAAGTTTGTGCTGATGATGTTGTTCAGAAGAACAAACAATGAAAGCTCCACAACCAAAACAACCAGCTCAGAGTACAAAACACCACCACAATCATCCACCTGAGCTACAAGTTTTCTCCACCATCTCACATGTCACATGTTGTGCAGTTGGTTATCACGAAGGATAATATTACAACACAGCAGGGAGTAGATAGTAAAACTTATTTCAAAATCTGCACAATTTTAGTAATTAAGCGAACGAGAGTATGACTGTTATTAATGATTATGTTACTGTTAGGTAAGATGACACCGTGGAGTTTATCTCATTACATAACTGTGTAATGCTCTCTGAACTAAACAGTAGTTTTATATGCAGGTGCTGAATAGATTGTCTAAGATAACAATGAAATCTTTTTTAATGGAAATCATTTTCACTTAGAGAACAAAACACCATTGAAAGAATATAACAGAACTGTTTAGTTTCTATCAATGATATAAGTCTACAAGTAGTTACGAAGGACATTTTTTCAGATTGCTGTTTCACATCGGAATCATGGATGACCAATCAGTGTTAGACCACTATTAGAAATATGAAAA